GCAAATTCTCTAAAATCGTAGAAAAATGCCTTATTGTGCAGTTGGAATGCAAAAATGATAGCTGCACCAAAAATATTATCCATAGTAGTATTTCATATCTTATTTTAATAAATTTTTCAATTTCCTGTTTATCAATTACATTTTTTGTACTGTAACAAATGTAAGTAAACATTATCCCAGAGCAATGTGGTCGAGTTTTAGCTTTTGAAGAACACTAACAGCTCGAAAACAAAAGCGCACAAAAATTTAGCAAAAAAAATGCTTCACGAGTGTTTTATTAATTTTAAAATTAATTGATCGAAATAAGGTTTCTATAGTAATTGAAGTGCCTTAAGCACTTCCATTGTTTTTATTTCTTCCGTGAGCTTGCCCAATCTCAACTACTACGACGCTACCGATATATCGGGTGTGAACGGACGTGTCGCACGCGCACATTAAGTAAACGTTGTTTTATTGAGCTATCCCTGTACAAAGTAGTGTAGGTCACAAATATCATTATGTATTTAGATGGATATAAATTTCCAACCTGTCGCGATTTCAATACTTGCGACTCCTAATTGGGTCTTTAAAAGTACCTGTTTTTGAAGCAGTTGGTGACAAGTTCCCCTTTGCTCATGTTGTAAAGCCAATTAAGTTTGCGGCCGGAGTGCTGCGACGAGTAGAATGCCGTGAACCGGTGTACTGATCGTTCCAACTGCAAGAGACAAGTTTGTTTTTTACTATACATAACTACAGATTACTTAATAATGAATGAATGCAATAAAAATGAATGAATAAAATGAATGAAGTGGATGAAGTCAGTGAAATGAATGAAGTGATTGAAACAAACTTGCTCGTAAATGGTATGATTGCATGGTGGCTATCTTGACTATAATGCCACGAATAAAACCTACGCGCCTTTTTTTTCCATTACAGCTATAGCACGACGTACTTTCTTACACAGGTCAGGTTCAAGTTCTAGCAAAGAATAACTTAAAAGACTTAAGTTCAAAATTAAAACATTAGCTTAAAATGTTGTCTAAACAGGCAGCTTGGATTATTATTATGAAATTCTTATAATTGATTTTAATTGTTTTCTGTATAACAAAATTTACCAAATTTTTTTTTTACAATCCATCATGGCTTTATGCGTGTGTGTTTTATTACAACATTTCAGTTCCAGTTGTATTATCTATGGAATTAATAAAAAATAAAAAAAAATACCCGCCATTTGCCAAATCCATAATTGTTGTGTGTGAACCATATTTGTAATTATTCATTTCCTCGCAAACGTGATGAAAAATTTGTGTGCATCACGGACGGTAAAAAAGTACATTACAAACAAAACTCGAGTGGTTATGGACAGGCGTGTTTACTACCAGCTTACTACCAGCATGACTTGTACGTCCCGTCACTTAATATTATAAAAATAAAATAAAAAAATATAGAAATGACGATTAAGTTTTTTTTTTGTTTGAAAAATGTCCATTGTGCTGATTTTGCTTAAAAATGAATCTGAAACTAAAAAAGGGACAAAAAAATACCGCTTTTACGGGGTTGTGAGATCGCGTTTCACTGATTCATAAGTAATAACACAATTTCATTAGTTATGATAAAGAGGACAAGTATAGTTTTGTATCGACCTTTCTAGTATTGTTACCTCTGTAGGCAGCTGGAAGCTGGAGGACTGCTGGAAAGGCCAAGAGCCTGATGATAACACCTGGATGCTGAAGTCGATATGAAGAGGCTGTTCGGAGCTATTCGACATGTGCTTGCGGAAGTTCTCGTTCAGGTCTTTGGATACGCCAATGTCCTGGAAATTTAGATCACCATGTAGTCTCTAAAGAATTGTTCAAAATTCAAAATTTTCAGACAACAGGATCCATTGGTGTTAGTATAATAGAGAAAAAACTTAGTTTTGCCTTAGTTCCCAAAGTGGTCCAGGTGGACCCCCAGGGGTCCACGGGGGACTCGACGGGGTCACGGGGGTCTACGTACACATTTTAAAGTTTTTCATTTTAATTCAATATAGATCAAATCGAATCAAAGAATCAAATCCTATATGAATAAAAATTAATCTCGACAATAGTAGGTCTACTGTCAAAATAAGAATAAAGAAGGCAATAACGCATTTAGTAATTACTAGGACGTCGTAACATTCACAATTCAGTCATCTTTGGCAAAATGGTATCTCCTTTCACAATCTATCAATAAAACTATCGACACATAACTATTTAAAATTTCATGACAACTGACAACCCTACAAATGTCATTTTACTCCGTCTTCATAAAAGACAAACTATAGAATGACTGTCAAACGCTGCGTTATTTTAAGCCAACGTTAACCTTATACGTAAAGCGCAAAGGTCAATTTTTGATTGATTAGTTGAGTACGGTTGTTAAGTTCTAGTACCGATATGTTTTCTAGAAAAAACATCCGGTGATTCAAATACAGAATATACCTGCGTTACCTTAACCGCCTTAACTATACGTAACCCTTATACATAAACAGTAAGGTCAACCTTTAATTGATTATAATGCCAAAAATATAAAGTGTAATAACATTAATTTCAAGTAGAATATATATATAAGAAATTTTGAGATTAAATTGAATTTAAGATGACTCTATCACATTGCTTCAGTGTAATAATAATAATAACACTCATAGGGGCTATAAGCACTAGGGAAACCCTGTATCGCGGGTGCCATGGACACACCATAGACAACCATAAATTACACACAAACTCACGAAAGGTATAAATGTAGGCCATACAAATATTTCTCTCGGCCCGGGAATCGAACCCGGGACCTTTGTGTAACAGTCTAGCATGGTAACCGTTCGGACACAGAAATTATAGTACATACCTGGAACATCCTTTGAAGTTTGCTGGTGTATTCGAATCCACATGCTTGTTTAAGTTTTGAGATCATGGAGGCCTGAAACCAAACACATAGTCGGTTTTTTTTTAAATATACCACATATATAAAATACATATACATTAGGGAAAGCTTAATGGCATTAAATCCGCTATTTGTACTATTTTGTGTTTAACAAAAGTTTAAATAAATAGAAAAAAAAGATATTAAAAATAAATAGAATATAATTTAAGTAGAGTCGCCAAATGAAACGGTTTCGAACTTAAGAAGATTTGGTTTATAAATGCTCCTAATTGAAGTATGATTATTCCCTTAGAAATAAAACGCAGTTGTTCTCCACCTTCGCATGAAGTTATCAATTTTCTAAACAGGTAAAAATTAAGCCTGTGCTCACATCATTAAAATTTTCTTTGCAGACATTTTCCATTTAAAATAATCAACTAAGTAAAAAATATTTTAAAAAAATTGTCGACGTAGTCGAGTGGCTTGCACAACGGTTTCATGATGACGCCATCTCTCGAGGCACCGGGTACGACTCCGGCCGGGTCAACGTAGAAATTAAATCTTCTTCCGATTTCCGCAACACAAGTGCTCTAGTTACTTTGGGATTAGTGCGTACGTACGTGATGTGGCCTGATTACGTCCAGTATCAAATAAATACTTACCTCGGCGTCATCACTAGCGGACATGTGCTGCACCAGCCGTTTGGCAAGCATCTTCGAATAAAACTTCTGGAACACATCCTTGTCCTCGATGTATTTGAATACCACCATCTGCAAAAGACAATAACATTGTTAAAAACTTAACAAAAAAACAACTTTTTCGACCCTATGAAACTATGAAACCTAGTATTGCTCTTATCAACTGATCTACAGGTCAACTTAAGGAGTAGTCGAAAATCTCTTAAGTGTTTTTGATAAAGGTATTTGTATTGGGTTTTTCGGCATTCTGCGCCGCTAGTGACATCTAGTGAGATAAATAAATAATTAACGCACACACTCGTAGCCCCTGAACTAGGAAAACCCTGTGTCGCGGGTGCCATGGACACGCACACAGAACACCACAAATTACACCCAAACTTACGAGTGAAATATAATAATAAAATTGAATGAATGAAATATTCTTTATTGCAACATAAAATTATAGTTAAAATACAATAAAGTAACTTAGGTATAAAGATAGTAAGATAATGTGCAACAGACGGCCTTATTGCTATGTAGCAATTTTTTCCAGGCAACCCTAGGATAGAAATTTGAGTAATATCCCAAATAAAAAATAAAAAGTTCTACACAGTGTTTAGTAAAAATAGTGTTGTGAGACAAAAAGGTCTGTAGCTCAGCACAGTGGCGGAGTGTTTCACAACGCCGCTGATATTCTGCCACAGGCTGCCATGTTCATAAAAAGAAGAAGAACTGACACACAGTGTCATTCTAGTTCTAAGATTTCAAATCGATTATATAATGTAGGCCTTACAAATATTTCTCCCGGACCGGGAATCGAACCCGGGACCTCTGCTTGGCAGACCAGCATGTTAATCGTTCGGCCACTGAGGCAGTTATTATACAAAAATCTTCACCGTTGCCTTTACAGGTGCCTCAATTGACGTAGATGTCGCTTTTTGATCAAGTGCATTAGTGTACTAGCGGAGTTATTTAAAAAGTCTCAATAACAACATTATTGTTTGATACACACACACATGCACGCACGCATGCACGCACGCACGCACGCACGCATGCTCGCACGAAAAATAGTTGTTTAATTTAATATATGTATAGTTAATATATGTTAGTCAAACAATCATTCATTCCATAGCTTAGGTGCATTGACTTACAATTATATGGACGTCGGGTCCGCGCTAAAAAGTGTCCGAACTTATAGGGCGTTAAAATCGTATACAGAGCATCATTCACGCTTTAGTCTTCGTTTGTTCGACTGACAGCGAAGCAAGCAAAATTAGACAGCACTGCGATGACATTACAATTTAAATTCAACGTTTTAGCTTTTTCATATTCCTTTACATGTCACTACGTTTAAATAGGTTGACTTGGGACATTTTTTCGTGGTTTTTGTATTAGACCCGTCGTCCATTTATTTGTAAGTCAATGCTTAGGTGGAGTAAATTTTACATTTGAAAAGCTTACTTTTGAAAACTTGAATGCTATGGAATTCACTTTGAATCTAATTTGGTGGAGCCTGGAGCCATGTCGTCTTTCCATGCTTAGTCTGTCACATAGTCTTCAATTTTGTAATATGACACTTGAATTAAAATTTTAATGTAGTTTTTAAACTCAGGAAATGATAATCTTATCTAATTAAATGCTCTGGAATCATATTGTAAAAACGTGTACAGTTCCCCCTAAAAGGGTCGTTTGCCATGGTAAAACGAAATCGTGGTACCACGAGTTTGGACTTGGTTAATATAATATACTGTTTAATGTAGTCTCTTTTGTCTCTCCATTATCCACTTGATGTGTTGTACTACACGCGGGGTGGGTGCCTGGAGATCCATCATACAGGCTAGACCTAGTTTAGGCTCCAGTCTCCCACAAATGTAACTAATCTAAGTACGTTATTGTTAATATGCGTCATTTAGCTTTGTGAGGAGATATAAATAATTTTGTATTTGTATTTATTTTTTACTGACTACAATGACGCTTTACTATCCTCACGTAAAAGCCGTTAAAAACCCAATTCAGAGATCCGCAACGAGCATATAGTGGAATTCGTAAGACGCGCTTACTAGCTGCACTCTAGCCAAATTCGATACAGAATGTTGAATTCGATACCTGAGCTCGAATTCCAATTTTCCCCGTACTAATACAATAGCACTCATACAGCACTCTTAACCCTCAAAACTGGCACTATATGCTATATATAATATTTTTTTTTATGATTTAAGTGACGAAACAAACAAGTCGTGCGCCTGGTGGTAACTGACACTCATATTCTGATTTAAAAAAACATACAATAGACAACTCGGCGTAAATCGAAATTAAAGGGAAAATAAAAAGTAAAAAATGCATGCATTAAAAATGGGTGTAGGGTAGGTGGGATGTAATAAAACCAAAACTGATTGTGCCTGTGTTGTGTCCTCGTGTTTTTGTGGTTGGGGTATTAATGATAAAATGGCAAGAAGGCACAGCACGACTGCCAGTGCTGTAAAGAAGGCAACAGTTTTTTTTTGACGCAGCTCTGAATCATACGAATTTTATTAAGTTAATTTTACCAGTATTCTCTTTTACCAAAAACCGTAATAGGTCTTTTTATATAATACCAAGTGACGAGACGAACAAGTCGCGGGCCTGGTGGTAAGCGACACGCCTGTTCATAACAGTTGCAATGCCACTCAGAGCTTTAAATCATAAAGATCTGAGGGGCAATGCCACTGCGCCTGTCACCCTGAGACATAAGTTGCCAAGTCCCATGTCCCTGTAATTTCACTCACTCAAAGCTCATATTACTACTTGGCGGCAGAAATAGGTAAAATGGCAGTACTTCCCTAGATAAACTCTTTCAAAAGCAGCTCTATTTGCCATTGATTATTGCTTCATTTTTCATAGTCCATAACAATTCACCGGCATGAAGAATGGTAATCTGTAGCTGATGTCTATTCATTAAGAACTTCTTAATAGTCGATAATATCTCAGTTTGAACTCAATTTTTTCCCGTACTAATATGATTCATTTAGCTTGGGTCGAGTGGCAGGCATAGTGGCTTTATTTCAGAATTTATTTTTGTACAAACAAAGTTAATGCTATTTGAAAAATGTATATCGTATAATATACGTAATCTATTTAATTCAGTTGATATATAATCAGTACAGAGTACTAAAAAAACCGACCTCAAAAGTACGTGGGAATTTCGTCTATTTGCCAAGTTTTATTGAAATATCCCCTAGTTCGCCACTATACAGGACTTGACACTGGAGATAATAATAATGGGTTTTCACTACTCAAAGTATATTGAGAGAAAAACGCCTTGAATTGGAGAAATAAAAAAATCAACCATTAAAATAATTGCTCCTAAATTGAAGTTAGGCGCTATTTATAAAAATGAATCTTCATGCGTGAACAGCCACCCTTAAAGGTGGAAGATTTTCTTCAAAATGAAATGGGACCACTATGGAAGCACCCCCTTTCCAACAAAAAAATAATCATGAAAATGGGTTCACAAATACCGGAGTTATCGCGTAACATACATACAAAAAAAAAAAGAAAAAAAAGAACATACAGTCGAATTGAGAACTCCTCCTTTTTTGAAGTCGGTTAAAAAATCATTGGTATATGTAAAGTACCCATTGAATACAGCGGTTTGCGTGTAAAATTTCGGGGTAAGTTTGTATTTTTTTTTATTGGAATCGTATCTTCATACCGTATACTAATTATAACCTCAATTTTTTTCCAAAGCTATTGATTCAACGCTTTCATTGTTATGCGGAAGCTTTTTCAGGTTGTATACACTCTTAAGGATATCCGGACTGATCACATAAAAACAAATCCCAAAATTGGTATTACTACAAGTGACTCACCACTTGGTTGAGAGTGTCTTCAAGCTCAGCCTCCTCGGGGTTCTTGCTGGACTTCTTGAGCAGCAGGTCGCAGTACTTAGCCAACAGCTCCGGACTCTTGGATGATGAGTTTGCCGCTTTTGTCACCGCATTGCCTTTGGAACAATGATGCTTTGGTCATTGAAGAAAAAACGATAGCACATCCTGTTAAACAGATTGTATTTTCTTTTATATTTTAAGAATAGTTTTGTGGGTATTGTGCCAATAAAAGTTGTTGCAAGTTTTGTACGTTCTTGCATGAATGCCCCATTTACGTTCACATTTGACAAGCTTGTAGCGAACTTCTAAAATTATGGAAATGGTTTTTTTTATGTTTAATAAATATTGAAATAAAATTGTGTTATAGATTGTAAACAAATTAATTTATATCGAGTTCTTAGGTTTTCGCGATTGTTACACATGGGAAATGAAACTATTTTTTCGGGTTTAAATCGCGGATATTTGTTTTATCAAATAAACCGACGTTTCGGGCACTTTACAGGTCCCATGGTCCGCATACACCCGCGATACAGTGTTTCCCTAGTGCGGGGCTGTGAGTGTGTGCGTTATTATTATTATTACAAGGAATTACGAACAATATTCGGTGTATAGGTTACGGAAAGAAGATCTACGGTATATGTTTCAGGAACATAATGGGTCTAACATGTTTAATAAAAGACCAAAACTGTGATAACAACTTTATGCTGGGTTAAAAGCCGAATTATGCGGAGGCACGTCACACTTGACGTATAAAAGTGCCTATTAAAAAACTAATAGCAAATATTTTTTTTACTTTTTCAACTATTTAAACATTTTTTTTTAACACGGGGACAGTTCAAGGCATGACCAGGTATATAGTATACAATATTTTATATATGTTTATAATATAAACTTACTGTTAATGAATCTTCCGCAGGCCTTGTCCAATGCAGCAACAAAGCCAGAGTCGTTGTTGAAAGCTACCATTACCAGCGCGTTATATTTCTTGTGCACCTCCAGGATTGTCGAAACATACACCTTTGGATCCTGGAATGGATAAGGTATTGATGGGCACTGATGAATTCCATAATGGACCTGCTAATTTAGTTTGCACGTTCATTTCTTGTCTATGGTCTGCAAGAATTGCATGTGCATGGAAGTGATTTTTTATTTATTTATTTAATTCAGGCAACACGACCCATGTACAATAAACTTATGGAATAACGTATATACAATACAACAATATAATAAAATTATTATTTTGTTTTATTAAACAGTATTTATTTATTTATTATCTAGTGCTTTTTATTATCATCCAAGGACGTACTGCCACCATACTTAATTCTTCCGCCATGCAGTAAAACCATTTCCGGAAATCCGGAATGCGAAAATAGTAATGAATTAAAATTTGGAAGTTTTATGGAACAACTACGTCACTCCTTGTAGCTATATCTATACACGTAACAAAATATTTGGAACACCTTTTTCTGAGCTCTGCTTATGACCCTACCATAGGTACTCGATCTATGTCAGTGTCGCTATACTACTTTTGTCTGAATACCTTAAGGGTCTATGTCGGTGTGATAATAAGGCTAAAGTCGACGTGGTGAACGGTAATGTTATGCAGATGGTGACTACTCACAGTATGAGCGCTGTCCCCGCACTTGTCAATGGCCTGCAGGCCCTGTGCGTGGATGTGGTGCTCTAAAAGCCGCCGGAGCTCGCACAGTCCGTCTGGAATGCGCGCTACGAGGCTGTACATGCGACCAAGATCGGCATTCTTCTCGCTGTCAAGAAGTTTCTGTAAAGAAAAAAATATAAATAAGTTTTTTTTTAACAAAAGGGCGGGCGAAAGATGGCGCTGTAATACTAGAAATATTAAAGGGTAAATATCAAAATTAATTAAAAACAAAGAAAAACTAATGGCAGTTCAACGAAGCTGATTTCCAATTAACAAAAAACATTTCAATATTTATTGTTATACATATATGAAAAATACAAAATTCTTTTTGACTTTTAAGTAACTACGTTAATTTTTGAGAAACAATTTTAAATAATTTCATACAGAAAATTGAAAAGGCAAGAAGACAATATGATGGCCTGTGCGCACCTGCATAGTGTGAGTAGTTCAATTTTAATTTAGGAAATACGTAATAAAAATTGAAAAAAAAACCGGTGAAAGCAGAAGTAAAAACTGTTATAATAACACAAGTATAAACAAAAATATTAAAATCGTTTTTCTCGACCACTATTCAGAAAAATACCTTTACAGCTACCAGCAGCTAATTAGAGATGTCGCTTTAATAATTGTACTTTTAACGGCACAGTTTGCTGGAAGACGTTGGTTCGAAATAGTTAATCCGGACACGCGACTTTTAATAGCAATTTATAGGCGATTGCATCGATGCACACGCGCGACTGCATCGATACAAAGTAGTAGAGCTCGTTGTGAAAGATTTCTGCCGCCGAGTAGTAACGTCAGCATTACTGTGTTCCAGTTTTGAAGGGTAAGGGTGCTGGTGAAATTACAGGTACATGGGACTTGTCAGTTTATGTTTCAGGGGAGTCGGGCGCAGTGGCAGTGTCCCTCAGATCTTTGTGGCACTGCAATTGTTAAGGACAGGCGTGTCGCTTACCAACAGGCACACGACTTGTTCGTCCCGTAACTTAGTCACTTAGTCATCGTTGCTAAGTGTAGTAATTACACAAAAATAATTGAATATCATGGTGGTCAAATAACATTACAATAAACTTAAAAATTACTGTATCTATGTCCCAGGCTTTGTGGTCGAAACTTCGCAGCTTGTTTTCGGGCGGTGATCATCTCAATTTATTGACTATGGCTTGGCTTACATGTTTAATTTATTGATACCGTTAGAAATCGTAAAAATGAGCAAATAAATTTATTCGGCGAGTGAACAAATACCTGGCTGTTACTGTAACAAAAAACTCACTTGGAACTCAGCGTGGAAGATCTCCAGATGTTTCTCGATCAATACACGGTCGCAGGTCTTTGCCAAACGCTCCATTGTCGTCTCGTGCAGGTACACTTGTACGCGACGATTTTCTTCTTGTAACCGTTGCTCGGCCTAAAAAATAAGGTCGCTTTTGTTTCATACGTGTTGCTGCTTAAAATGTATAAGGTCTCTTACTTGTAAATCCTAGTACCACAAGAACAGTTGATTCTGAGTACCACGATCGATTTTTACTAATTCTTTTTTTTTTAATAGCCCCGCACTAGGGATAACCTGGGTCGCGGGTCCCACGGACACACACATAGACAAACACAAGTTACATCCAAAGTCACGAGAGAAATAAATGTGGACCATAGAAATATTTCTCCCGGCCCAGGAATCTAACCTGGCACCCCTGCGTGGCAGTCCGGTATGGTAACCGTTCGGCCGCGGAGGCAGCAGTTATTTTTGAAGACGAAGTAAAATGTAAAATTTTAAATAATTATATAGTTGTTGTCGATAGTTTTATCGATATATTGTGAAAGAAGATAAAATTTTGCCAAAAATGAATTGTGAATAATGCGACGTGCTAATGATTACTAAATTACGTTATTGCATTCTTTATTCTAATTTTGACAGTACATTACTATATAGTATAGAGATAAATTTTTATTCATATACATTTGAACAAGAATAGCTAGATTTGACTATCTACATTGAATTAAAATGAAAATCTTTAAAATATGTCTCCTCTTGGTATTTTCCACAAACATAGTTCTAAATGCAGTATGTGTATGTGTAAAATCATAAAACTTGACAGTTCAAATGAACTTGAGCTCAGTAATTGGATGAATAAAGGGTCGACGATCGAGTTCGGCTATTTATTTCATAAGAATGACCAATATTTACTCGACAGTCGATAGAATATTTATCGACTGCAATCACTAGCTGCTCGCAAGCGCGCAACACTTTTGCGCATTGAACGTAAAATGACTTTTACTCCGTCTTCAAAAACGACAGACTATACCTTACCTATTTCTGCCGTCGAGCAGTAATGTGATGTGTTCCGGTTTTGAATGGTACGGGTGCTGGTGAATTTACATGCACATGGGACTTGTCAACTTATGCCTGAGGGTGATGAACGCAGTGGCAGTGCCCCTCCGGCCTTTGCTGTTTAAAGCTCTGAGTGGCATTGCAACGTATATATTACGTTTACGTGATACGACTATTTAGCAGCTTTATAATAATAATAATAACGCACACACTCAACATAGCCCCACACTAGGGAAACCCTGTGTCGCGGGTGCCATGGACACACACATAGACAACCACAAATTACACCCAAACTCACGAGAGAAATAAATGTAGTACAAATATTTCTCCCGGCCCGGGAATCGAACCCGGGGACCTCTGCGTGGCAGTCCGGTATGGTAACCGTTCGGCCACGGAGGCAGTTAAGCTTTAGACGCTGACTGTACTTATTGGTATTACAGAATTAAAGTGCTTATAAACATTACGTACGTACACATGCACGCAAGTACGTAGGCACGCCCGTACGCAAGCACGCACGCGTAACTTGTACACATTTATTACAATCGACAATTTAACCATACCTTGATCATGTATTCGGTGACAGGATTATTCCTCAAAAAGTCAGTGCTCTCTCTTGTGTAGAATCTTTCCGTGTCTTCGAGGAAGACAGCCTCGAAAGTGTCTTTGTAGACGGCGAGATTCTGGCCTCGGGCACTCGGGTCTTCCTCGTTCAGGCCTAGGGCTACGTAGCAGTCAATTACCTGGGATAACAAAATAATTTATTAATATATTATTGGATATAGGGGTATCCTGTCTAGCCCGAAGAGCGTATTTCGGCGCTGTATACGCGCGCATGTATCGCGCATTTTCGCGAAGTTCTTCGCAGGAGGCATGGGACCTTAGTATGTCCTACTGTATTATGTCGGACCGCTTTTGCCCATCGACAGCATAATGCTGCCAGTTGCAGGTTATATAACAAAATTAATAATTTTTTGTCCATTTATATTATATATAAATTTAGCGTATAGATTAGCATTCACAATGAATAAGTATATATAGTTCCATTTTGTTTTAAGATTATTATTCTGTTATTATATTAATATATATATATATATATATATATATATATATATATATACACATATACATAATATTATTATACTGTAGTTAATATATTTTTAACATTATTTATTAGTCCTTTTTAAACTTTATTATTGTCTTAGTTTTTATAATTACCTCTTGGTTGTACTGTATTTACCTAGCGATAGCCAGTGAGTAGAGGAACACTCAATCCCAAAATACAAGCTTATGCTTATTTTGGGATTCGGTAGTTTAAACATTTTATATAAATAGCATGTACATACAATCATTGAAATAAGTAAGTTTTTTTTTATGTAACGTACCCATTGTTTTTAATTTTACTGTATGTGTATATGAATGAGATAAATGTTATTATAATTATTAATACAAAGATCGAACACTCAGAAAAAACACTCAGAAAAAATTCCTTCGATACGGTCGGATTCGAACCGACGTCTTCTTGCATACCGTGTCAGACGCTATACCAACTAAGCCACGGAACGAACCAACGGACCTCACGAATTTTTCTATGTGCTTGTATCGTGTCTTTGTACTTGGTCTTTCAACGACTTTTTAGTCGTAGCGCCATCTATGAGAAATCTATTACAGATTTATCACCCAGTTAGTACCTTTACAGCTACCAGTCCTGGCGAGAGATGTCGCTATTCACTGTATTAATTAAATTTTTATTGAATTGATATTCAATTATTTTTTGTGAAATTACTCCACTAGTTTGTTATAATTATTAATACAAAGATCGAACACTCAGAAAAAACACTCAGAAAAAATTCCTTCGATCCGGTCGATATTCCTCGGATAATTATTATTATTATTATTATGAGCTAGTTTAAATTTTGTTTGTAAATTTCAGTTAATTTTTTAAATGAAGCAACTTCGGCGCGTCTGCGGCACGTATAAAATACGCTGTGTGCAAAGGATCTAAGTGTGTAAAAGTCAGAAGGACTGCGATATGGTTTTCCTTAACCTTGGTTTAAAACGTATATTTAAAAGTGTGCTGTAAGTCTCATGTTAAACAATTTACAATACAAGCTGCTGCAGAAGTTGAAATTAAAGCTTACTTTTCATAACATTTGCTCGTAAATATTGTCATGTCGTGCAGGCAAAGTCGAGTGTAATGTCCTAAACTACGCCCACGGGCATTCGTTACATTACGGTCCTAGGACGGTAATGGATTTTTTATAATGTTTTTCATACAAAATGAATAAAACTGACTAATTTTTTATAATCCTGATGTACTTAGTTTCATGTAAGGCACGTAAAAATTAATCAATATTAGTCATTTTTATGGACAACTGACTTTTGACCAAAAAATTGACAATGCCAAAAATTTTAACAAAAAAGATATAATGGTTCCTAAGACAGTTACCCTGTATCTCTTAAATACTATCATCATCACATAATCCGCTGTATCAGTTAAAAAAACACGCACTTTATAGTGTTTGTGTGTTATACATAATGTGTGTATCATATTCGATATCTCCAATGATCACCACGGCAATAATATTTTTGGTCATTTTCTGTTATTTTTGGAAACAGGCAGGTACCATCTAAATTTTTACAACTTTACAGGTGAAAAAAAAAACTGTTTGCGTCATTTATATAGCATCTGATTTATTAAATAAAAATAGGTAATTTTTCAATATTTTTATTACACATACACACAAACATTTTTTTTCTCATCGTGTAAGTTGCCAAAATTGAGATAGTACCGGTTGGCAGTTCACAGTCGATATTTATTTACTAATATTATGCTCCCCGAATTTTGTGAAAAAAAAAGAAACAGCAAAATTTAAAAAAAAAACGAATTTTGTGAAAAAGAAAAACGAAATAGAGCAGGTGGAAAAATTAAGTTGCAGTAGTTTTCATTGGAGGCATCTATACGGTGGATGTGTGTATAACTCACCCCCGACACAAGACGTGTGTTAATGGTCTCCCCGTTCCGCTCCCTTTCGATCAACTTGAGCACAGCATTGGTGACTTGCTTGTTCAAGCATTTGAACAGATTGTCACGCCATGTCACCAACGCCAATTGGTAGATCTCATAAATTCCCTGCAATAACAAGAAGACGTATTTCAATAAGGCAGTGGATATGGGCAAAATTTTATAAATAAATAATTATGTACACGTTTTTTACTATGGACATACCCATTTCGTTATCATTGCATACAAAATTTTCTTTTTTTTTTTATACCGTTTATTTTCTAAACATTCCAAAATATTGTAGATAGTCGTGTTCATTTTTTAAATGGCTAAAGTATTTAAGTACGTAAACACCACTAGAAATACAACTACAATAATATTATATATTTATATATTTTTTAAGACAATAATTTCGCCATTACAATAATACACAATACGACAATTAGGTCGCCAATGTACTCCAATTTCAATAGAGAATATGTATATTCAATAATATCAGTAAAGAGTACTAAAAAACCGACCTCAAAAGTTCGTGGAATTACTTCTATTTGCCAAGTTTTTTTGAAATTGGTTACCGCATAGTGCGCAAACCCGGATTCATCCTCTAGTTCGCCACTATACGGAACTTGACACTACTCAAAGTATATTGAGAGAGAAAACGCCTTGAATTAGAGAATAGCAAAATTAACCATTAAAATAATTACTACTTATAATAAAATTTAGGCGCTATTTATAAAAATGAATCTTCATGCGTGAGACCCTCTTTCCAACAAAAAAAAGAATCATGAAAATCGGTGCACAAATAGTCATCGCGTAACATACATACAAAAAAAAGAAAAGAAACAAACAGTCGAATTGAGGACCTCCTTTTTTTGAAGTTGGTTAAATATAATCAGTTCCTAGCCCCGGGATTTGTAGAAGGGAATGTCCACGTTCTCCGTCAATTCCGATCAACAATTAGCCAAATATAGTCCCACTTCTGGGCTTAGGTCTCCTCAAATAATATTGGAAATTTCACGCACATCGATGTATGTAGGTATTCACACTATAAAATATCAACAGCGCTGTGAAACAGTCCGCCATTTTGTAGCACGCCGCCATTTTGCTGACCTTTTTATATCCTACCACTCATACTAAACTGTGAAATGTACGTTATTAATGTGTAGAGATTTTATTATTTTTGCGTATTAATGTCACAGATACTCACCTTACGCCCTTCTTCGCACTCGCGCTTGACCCAGTGCCTGTTAAGGTAAGAGCACACTCCGTTGAGCACCCGTGATGAGAACTGGTACTCTTCCCATTGCTTCGTGTAGAACGCTAAAACGTCCTCGCCCATAAGATCGGCGCCATTCTGTAAAAAAAATAAAGACCATTTACTCCTGTTCATTGTTACATAAATAACCTGGTCTCAAACTAGGATATTGTCTGTACTATGGGAACAGTCCTATACCTTTCTAAAAAAGTTTTTGTTTATGGTACCCCTCTCTATCAACCACACAGGCACTATGACCTGTGCGAGCGAACCAGCACAAGGACCATCTAAGTCAGGACCTAACCCCGGATCGGCCCGTTTGCACGGACTTCATCCGGTTCTCTGTAAGGCTAGTGCTTTAAGTGAGCCGCCCAGGGTGCACGTACAGCATCATCCCTATTTTCTAGATAGCTACCGAAGCTATAGGCACGCTCACTTCCCGTCGCGTTCCGCACGACTAACACTTGCCAGCGCTGAGCCGCCGACTCTAAGTCGACTACCAAATCTCCACATTGGTGGCGGAGCTGCAAGGCACGGTCACTTCCAGACCCCGAATGAATGGCGTCTCTCCACCTATGGAACAGTACTATGGGAACATTCAGACGAGAAGTAATGTAGTAGCAGTCTATTCTGCCGATTTCTGCCGCCAAATAGTAACGTGATCATTCTGCGTTCCGGTTTTGAAGGGTCAGGATCCCGGTGAAACTACAGATACATAGGACTTGTCATCTTTATGTCATGGACATCACTTGACAGTTGTCGTGTCACAAGGCATCAGTAAAAAAAAATATCAAAGTATATTTCCTGTTTTAGTCCGACCGATAATCAAACCGGGAGAGGTCCCGTCATTCATCGACGATAGATTCAATAAAAAATGTAAATACCTTAAGCAAGTTGATGAGGTAGACCCTGAGGAACTCCCTAAGTCTTTTATAAAGCTCCAGGCCGACCAGTTGTGCGCCGCCTTGCACCTGACCGCTCTGCCAATAGATAATACATTGATTAAGTTTGCTAGTATGACCAGCTCGACGTGATAAAACTAGTATATCCACATTTAGCTGTCAAATTTGAGTGGTGAAACTTATGGATTAGAACATCTCTCCTTAAAAAGCGTAATTTTGCAGATGTGGCCTTATTATACCAAGGCGGCGAATTTGTCTGAAGTCTAAATAAATTTCTAACAATTTTCATCACGTATTTATAGAAAAATATACTTAAATTCTGGGTATATTTAATTAACCATATATTTGTTTTGTTTGTAAGAAGCCATATACACTCAGCAGTCAATGCCTATGAGGTGAAGAAAAGAGCGAAAGAGATGTCTGTTTTCATTTAATTATTACTGCAATGTGTATTGTATTTTAAATATATATGCGCATCTGGTTAAGAGCTTAAAAAGAGCTCTTATTAAGCACAAATAAAATACAACGTTACTTTGCATGCTTACTCACCGGTTTCTTGCCGCCATAGGTGTTCCTGCCGCCGTTGGTGGGTGCGGGCCGGATAGGGCCGCTGTTACTCTGCTGGTGTACCGACGTGCAATAATTGTATACGTGACTGTACATGTCAGGTTAAGGACGATATTTTCAAAGGTTAGATTCCTAAATCGCCAGCATAATCTATGAAACCGATACATATTTAGTATTTAATGCTACCAATAGATGGCGTTAACTGTAATTTAAACCGCGTAAAATAATTTTTTCACAACGATGGGTCGCTACGCGGTTTCCCTGTGGAATAATTTGTCATATATTAACTCCATACGTAACTTTTTATGCACTGAGAGTTCGTGGAACAAAACCTGATTGGTTAAGTACCCCGTAATACCAGTTTCTACCACAAAGCATCATTTCCACAAAAGACGTTCACTGTTAAACATAGGTGGCGAACCAAAGGTCGCGACAATAACTGGTCTTGTGCTGGTTACATCTAGTGGATTTCCGCAACCTTCACTAGGTTATTGGTCCACTTTGTGAGCGGTTTGCCTACGCTGCGTCTCCCGGTAAATCTCCCGAGCAATGTGCCCCGCCTACTGCCACCAAAGTTTTTGAGTTCTTTGCGCTGTATCGGTTACTCTACTTCTTATTCCTAATTCGACCTCGCAGTGAAACTTCCAGCACTCTTCACTGCCCTTTGAGCGATCTTTTTTTTTAATGTAATGTGACCACATAACCACACCAATTGCCTGGTCTAATGCTAGGATTTTTTTTTAGAAGAAGTCGTGAGCCTGATGGTGAGCTAACAGTTGCAGTGCCACCTAGAGCTTTCAATCGTCATAAGTTGGCAAGTCCTATGTGCCCGTAATTTCACAAGCACCCGTACCCTTCAAAACTGGAACGCAGTAATGCTCACATTACTGCTTGGTGGCAGAAATAGGTAAGGTGGCAGTACTTCCCTGGACAACTCTTTCATTAGGAGCTCTACTGCCACTAAACCATGCGTACCAGAGCAATGGAATTCGCTCTGGAGCACTTTCCAGAACACCGAAACCAGAACCAATTCAGAAAAGTTCAATTTCTAAATTGGTCATACCATGTATCGAGCCCGATCGATCTTGAGGCTTGATCGATCTTGGAGTTAACGACCACATCTCAGTGCCGTATGTAGGTATTATGGACAAGATATGGTGCAACTTCTCGAACACTGTCCAGCCAAGTCGGTGGTAAGAACTATCCACAAAAAAAAATTCAAAAGCTGATCATAGGTCTTCAATGTCGACCTTCCGAATAGAACGCTGCTAAGCAAGGTTCATGGTTTGCATCCATTAACGCGCTCGAGCAAGCGGCATCTCCAAAGAAAAATCACGAGAACTTGTATGGGAATTAATAATAATAACGCACACACTCAACATAGCCCCGAACTAGGGAAACCCTGTATCGCGGGTGCCATGGACACATACAAAGACAACCACAAATTACACCCAAACGCACGAGAAAAATAAATGTAGGCGATACAAATATTTCTCCCGGCCCGGGATTCGAACCTGGGACCTCCGTGTGGCAGTCCGGCATGGTAACCGTTCGGCCACTGATTCCGTTAAAATTGGCCAGTTTTCGAAGTTTAGAGGGCGTACCAATAACACGTGAGCAAGACAACCGCTGGCAGTCTCTTTTTCCTCATAATCTGATTAATGTGCGTAAGCCAACTGGAGACCAGTGTTCAGCAATTTAAATATCTAAGAATTTTGATGAAAGGGAATTTTTTTGCATCACAACACATTACATGAAACTTTGAATAGAACTAAGTTTACATCGAAATATTTCTGCAATCATTGGATTTCCGAATACACCTAGATACAAATTTCCACGTCTAATAATTTACTAATTCAACAAAAAAGCCGTAATAGCCTAATGGTTTAACCCTATCGTCTCTCAAGCAGAGGCCGTGGGTTCGAATCCGGGCACGCACCTTCGGAGTTTTTTCGGAATTGATGTACGAAATTGAGCATGAGCTTTCCGATGATTCCATTTCACATAATGATGAAACTTGCATGTCGAAGGTTCACAGTCCTCGGAAAACATGTTACTCAATGCTAAAGTCAGGATTTGATTATGGTTTAAAGCACTCGAAATCACACTCAAGTCCCTGCCATTAAGGTCGTATTTCCAGTGCTTGTGTTTCCAGTGCAATCCTGACTTGAGCATTGAGTAGAGTTCTAGAATACGACCCTAAGATAGCGTTGCCGACTATGGCCTAAAACCGTCGCTGTTTATGAATGAAAAATAATAGAGAGACATATCGAGTTCTTATATAAGAGCAGTAGAGCTTCTTGTGAAAGAGTTCGTCTAGGGAAGTACTGCCACCTTACCTATTTCTGCCGCCAAGCAGCAATCTGCCGACCGATAACTAAAATAATTTTTAGATATATCATGAAAAACCATAACCCTGATATTGAAAATGTTTAATGATATTTCAGCTATGCATCATTAGGGTAAGTTCCGACAAGTCGAACATGTTAACTAATTTTAACTGTTTAAAAGAGAATTTTGTGTACTATTTTTAACCGACTTCAAAAAAGGAGGAGGTTCTCAATTCGACTGTATGTTCTTTTTTTTGTATGTGTGTTACGCGATAACTCCGGTATTTGTGAATTGATTTTCATGATTCTTTATTTGTTGGAAAGGGGGTACTTCCATAGCGGTCCCATTTCATTTTGAAGAAAATCATCCACCTCTAAGAGTGGCTGTTCACGCATGAAGATTAATTTTTGTAAATAGCGCCTAACTTTAAATGAGGAGAAATTATTTTAATGTTTGATTTTGATATTTCTCCAATTCAAGGCATTTTTCTCTCAATATACTTTGGGTAGTGAGAACCGATTTTCATTATCTCCAGTGTCAAGTCCTGTATAGTGGCGAACTAGGAGATATTTCAATAAAACTTAGCAAATAGACGTAATTCCACGTACTTTTGAGGTCTGTTTTTTTTAGTACTCTATACTGAGATTATTTGCTATTTAAAATGGTTATTTGACCATTTGTCACTAAGCCGCGTTTTAAATAGTGGACGGCAGTAATGTGAGCATTACTGCATTCCGGTTTAGAAGCGTAAAGGCCCATTTAGATGGAGAGAGTTTATCGTCTCGAAGATACGATTATCGAAAGAATATAAAAAACTTTCCTCGTCTAAACATTCGCGATTATCGACCGTCCACGTGAGCGATAATCGCCTCGCCTTTCAATATTGAACGTCTCAGTGTAAACAGAACTCGAAAGCAAAAATCGTATTTCGAGTTTCTGTGCCAGCCGTTTCTACCACGAGTGCAGTGCGCGAGGGTGTTTAGATTATCACTGCTTTTCTAAGACAAGAATTAATGAAACGAGAACGAAAAAAATTTTGGATTAAGAAATGTTATAAAATTTGAAAAAAAAAAACTTAAAAAATGTATATTTCTATACCATGCAATGAAGTTAACATTATCAGCAGTTCTAAATTTGAATGATTTTTGCATCATTTTGATATATCGTCGGTTAAAAGGTAAAACTCACTAATAGCCTAATTGGCCAAAGGGAGATAATTAAGATTTTGTATTTTTTCATTATGAAAAATCACTAAAGGACTGGTATGTATTAAAACATGAAGGACACCACAGACTTACTGAATTTTTCTTGTCATAGATGTTCTTCCCAATAAAGCAAAATTGAAAAAATCTAGTTTTTGAACAAAATGTCACTTAATGAGTTTTACCTTTTAACCGACGATATACATAGTCAATACCGTAGTAATAACTGAACTCGAATGGCAATTCTCGCACTCAAAACGGTTCGAACCGATTTGTACAATAATCGTATGAACTTGAAAATAAGTCATACGAGATCGTGTTTAGACAAGTCGAAAACTCGTAAGCAAGAATCTCCTTACCACATATTTCTCCGTGTAAACAGTCGAGGAGGCGATTAAGTTGCTTGCCGAGATTCGCAAGCAACTATGACATAATCGTAGGCGAGATTTTAGTCCTTGCCTGAATGTAAACGTTATGATACGATAATCTTATGGCGATTATTGCTTACGATAATCGCGTACGATTTTTCGTCACGAAGCATGCGATAAACTCTCTCCATCTAAATGGGCCTTAAGGGTGCTGGTGAAATTACAAGCACATGGGAGACTAGTTAACTTATATCTCAAGGTGACGGGCGCAGTGCGCCAGTGCCCATAAGATCTTTGTGATTTAAAGCTCTGAGTGGCACATCAACTGCTATGGATAGGCGTGTCGCTTACCACCAGGCGCGCGATTTGTTCGTCCCGTCATTTAGTATTATAAAAACAAAATCCTAAAGCGGTTACACACGATGACGTTTATCAGCTATACACAAACACAAGTTTGCGAAATGCGCTGTCGCTCACGTTGAATCAACAGAAACGTGCGCTTGTAACGATGTAAATACGCTATTGAATCGATGTTTACGCACGTTTAAACCCATGCAATAGGGCTAGCACGATAGGGCTGCTATTCTCACACAGAGATCTCGCGTTTTAAGTCGCTATCGCGTATGCATCGCGACAAAATAGCGCAGGAGAATGAATCTCCAATACCATTAAAAAAATGTGGTGTCTGGATCGCGTTTGCATAGCGTTCGTATTGCATCAAACCCTCGTCTGAGTAATGCATGCTCACTGCTTGATGGTAGAAATAGGTATACTTCCCTGGACGAACCCTTCACAAGAAGCAGAACATAATGCTACTAAAGTTATTTCAAACTATCTTTCTTTTTACAATAATATTTACTCCTTAACAGTTGACAGTAGTACTAGGTAGTTTCTAGGGAAAGTGTAGTATAATATAATCAAAATAATGAGAAGTAGCTACTATTTCTATAGTTACTTCCAAGTCGATTGAATGCGGCCGGTCTGCACCAAGGTTAAAGGGCATTAGATATAGAAGTCCGACGACAGCCAAAACACGAAGATTGCCGAGAGATATTTAAGGAAGTAGTTGTACTTATAACGTCTTTTCGTGCTAAAAGGGTTGCGATGCGATGATACAGTACAGTACAAAAGTTATTGCAAAGGATACGTATACAGATGTATATATCTCTTCTTCACTATGTGCTCTCTCTTGTACACCTTCTCGATTCCTTCTCGTAGATCGCCCCATATCTGAAAAAAAAAAGACAATCATTTCGTCAATTATAATTTCAAGAAACATAATATTTACGTTTAATATAAGAAAAAATCTATTTAACGTGGAATTGTGGGCGCACCGACGACGTACAGTCGGTATTTTCTAGTACGTACGTGACATTTCGAAGATATTTCAGGGGAGCATGTTTCGTTTTAACAATTTTAAAAGTTAAGATTAATTAACCGACATCAAAAACAGGAGGAGGTTTTCAATACGACAGTATTTTTTGTTTGTGAACCGATGTTGATGATTCTTTAACCCATTAACTCCCAAAATCGAGGGCAAAAACAATTTACAACAAAATATTTGTTGTAAATAGGATTTTGTTTAAATTGAATGATTATTGTTTTCTGATATAGAGGATTCGATTTGTCTTTCTATTGACTTTCACTTTCTTTTCTTCTTCTTAAGGTGCCTCTCCAACTAGTGAAGTTTGCCTCAGCATATTTATCTTTATTCCTGGCGAGGCTGAACAGTTGGACGACACTCGCTATCCCAGTCCACTCTCGTATGTTCCTCAGCCACGATTTTTTCCTATGACCAGCTTTTCTTTTACCAGCGACTTTTTCCATCATTATCAGATCCAGAAGATCGTATCTGTCATGCCTACGTACATGATCCAGATATGCAACTTTTCTCTGTTTGATGTTGCAAAAGTTTACGCTTCTGTCCAACTAGTCGCAGAACTTCGTCGTTGGTGACTTTGTGAGTCCATGATAAATGCAACATTCTTTCTGTAGGCCCACATTTCAAATGCTTCAATACGTTTCCTGAGATGCTCTGTCCAGGCCTCACATCCGTATAGAAGTATTGGCCACACGTAACACTGAAGAAGTCGAGTGCGCAAAGGAATCTGGGGGTCTACTCTCGATCTCCGTCCGAAACAATTACTGCCAAATAAGCAATACTTGAGACCAAACGAAAAGTCGCGTGATGCGAATGAAGCTTCATACTTGACACTTGTCTTTTAATTTTGTCGAATATTACTTATTTGACAGTAATTGTTACGGACAGATGTCGAATGTATATCGAGAGTAGACCCCCTGAAGACAACGGCAGCATAATACTTTCCTGATAGCATTAAAGGCACTCCTGGCAATTTCAATGTGGGTTTTAACTTCAGTTTCACTGCCCAAGTCTTCTGTTACTTTTTTTGGTATAAGGAATTATACCAAATTCCGTAATCGCCATTTCTGCTCACCAATTCAAAGGCATCATCATCATCAAACTTAAGAATTATACTCTAGTCGGTGGAGCCTCTTCCAGTCATCTCTCCTACAAGCCAGCTCCATGACCTCCTTATGCGACACGATACCGGCCTATTCCTTTATATGGTCTATGTAACTGCGCCTAGGTCTACCTCTTCCCCTCTACCCCTCGATCTTTCACTCCAAAATAGTCTAAGGGTCATATTCCAGCACATTGAGTAGAGTTCTGGAATACGACCCTCAAAGAGGTTATCGTGTCGTATCAAATGTCCAATCATTTTCCCGCGTTTATACTCTATAGTATTCAGGATCGTTCTTTTCTCGTTTACTATTCTTAACACTTCCTCCTTGGTTTTCTTTTGTATCCAATTTATACCCTTCATCCTCCTCCAGCACCACATCCCAAAAGCTTCTAATCTTTCCCTATTTCTTTGTGTCAGTGTTTCATGTTTCACATACATAAAGTGCAATACTCCAAATGTACACTCTAATTATTTCTTAATGGGTTAAAACCGGGGGCGTTTTGAGTAACAACCCGATTAAAACGTAGGCAGGTTAATTGGGTTTAAACCCGCTGCCTATCTCTGTCAAAACCTCTCGTTAACGGTGAAGAAAGACATCTTGATGAAATCTGCATGTCGAATAAGCTTCACAACCCTTGGAAAACTTGTGAAGTTCCCAACCCGCATTTGGCTTTCCTCAAAGGGTTAATAATAATGATGAAGCATTGAAAATTCTAGTTTATAAGCACGCACTGTCTGTCACGCCTACTACTGTAACCTCTCGGCCTCAGGTAAAAGTGTGAAAAGTAAGACGTGTGAAGTCGCATTAGTCAGATAATGACTTAAAAATACATCTCCTAAGAGAAGACCCGCGCACAACAGCGGAGCGTATAATGGGATGATGACGTGTCGCTGATTCGAATGTTTTAACATTTTTCTACTTTAATTTATATAATTTTAAACAAAGAAGAACACTTAGAAAAAATTCACTTCGATGCGGTTGGGTTCAAACCAACGTCTCCCAGCAAACCGTGCCAGAGGCTATGCCAACTATGCCAAGACACGAATCAACGGACCTCACGAATTTACTGCGCCCGTCACCCTGAGACAGAAGTTGACAAGTTCGACGGGCCTGTAACTTCACCAGCATACTTACCCTTCAAAACCGGAACACAATGCTGCCGTTACTGCTTGGCGGCAGAAATAGGTAAGGTACTTCCCTGGACGGACTCTTTCACAAGGAGCTCTACTGGCATAAACCTAGTTATTTGTAATCCACGACTCAAAAAGAGGAGGGTTATAAGTTTAAATGGTGTTTCTGTGTCTGTCTGTGGCATCTTAGCTTCCAGTCGTGGAAATAAATTTAATGTCAGGGGTTAAAAACATTTTCAAGAGTTCAGTTACAACAGTGTGGCAAGCGCGCATCCTTAACACGCCAGATACCCTGTATAAACAAGCAATCGCATTCACATTTCGAATGTGTAAATATAGCGGTTTTTCTCCACAAACTCCAAAACAACTCTGGCGTCTCGCCAAGATGAATTTAAAATTATAAGAAAAATTTATGAGGTTGTTGAATTTATGAGAATATAGATCGGATTACTTTTGCGGAGTTTTTGTAACTTATAATGTATGATATTTTACTGCCCTACGTTCTGATTCGTTTTTATAAGGGTAAGATTGCTGGTGAAATTACAGGCACATGGACTTGACAACTTATGTCTCAGGGTGACAGACGCAGTGGCAATGCCCCCTAAGATCTTTGCGATTAAAGGCTCTAAATGGCACAGGATAAGCGTGTCGCTTACCACCAGGCGTACGACTTGTTCGTCTCGTCACGTGGTATTATAAAAAGATTGTCTCCATGACCAAACGGTTGCCATGCTGGTCTGCACGGAAGAAAACAATGAAATTGCCATAAGCCTCGATTACTATCGGAACCCATGTCGCCAAAACGTACACAAACAAAATTATAAACACTATGAAAGCTTGAAAATAATTGGTCATAGTTTCTAATTTAAAAAGATGTAACGATTGTTAATTTAATTTAATCTTTATTTCACGTTACGTTTGATTTTATATTGAAATTTTATTCAACGTGCTGCCATCTTGCAGCCCTTGGACTACAACGAACGATTAACATCTATTTGTAATAGATAATCAGAAAATTTAAAATTTATTAAATTAAATTTACCGATGGTTTGAAATACTACCATGGATAATATTTTTGGTGCAGCTATTATTTTTGCACTCTAAAACAGCACAATAAGGCATTTTTCTACGATTTTAGAGAATTTGCCCGAAACAATGACAACCATAGTAGGTCTTCCGAGACTTCTAGTTAGCACGCGTCTGACGTTAACTAACCTGCCATGCATAGGTCCCGGTTTCGATCTCCAGCCCGGGAGAAATATTTGTATGGCCTTAATTTATTTATCTTTGGGTGTAATTTATGGTTGTCTATTTGTGTGTCCATGGCACCCGCGATACAGAGTCTTCTTGGTGCGGGGCTATGGGTGTTCGCGTTAAACAAAACGCTTCAAACTTGTACCTTCTCGTCTTTTTTACGTCATTTTTAACAAACACAAACAAATCAATGTATTGAAATAAATAAGGTGCTGTTTAAGAGTGCGATACCTTAGTACCTCAGTTCGAATTCAAAAATTTCCCGTACTGAATCGGTTCTATTGTGTCACTGGCTTTATTTCAGTTATTTTAATTACAAACGAAATAAAAGCTATTTGAAAAATGTATATCGTACACATTGACTTACAAAGTCAATGATCGTACAGTATAGGTCGTGTCCTATTTAGTTCAGTTGATATAATATAAAATCATTGGTATATCGTTGGGAATAATGCAAAGTCGCGTATGAAGCATTGGCAAAAGGCGCGTATCTTCACGAGATCAACTTTTAAAGGTGAGGGTTTGAACATTATTACTTTGTTATTTCAATCGCTACGACTTACATTTATGCACAATAAACATTAATTTAAGTTATTCACGTACTGATAACAATAGACTCCAGTAAATGAGGCTAATTTGTTTGCCACGACGTTTACGCGGATTTGGTAACGGCAACTTTAGAACGCATGCTAGTTACGCGTAATTGTATCACACTCTATACAACACTCACATACTCACTCACTCACTCTATACGACACTCTATACAAAGGTCGAAAGTTATATATCTACTACTACTACATAGAGCAAGGCTATCTGCACACGCGCAAATGTGTGCGTGAAGTGGCAGGGTTATCCATCACTTCTCGTACTATTACATCACGTGGTCAGAGCGGCACCATACCGAATATTTTACGCGAATCTGTTATCTGTAATTCTATTAATAGGATCATTGACTTACAAATAAATGGACGACGGGTCTAATACAAAAACCACGAAAAAAATGTCCCAAGTCATCCTATTTAAACGTAGTGACATGTAAAGGAATATGAAAAAGCTTTTAAATTGTAATGTCATCGCAGTACTGTCTAATTTTGCTTGCTTCGCTGTCAGTCAGACAAACGAAGACTAAAGCGTGAATGACGCTCTGTATACGATTTTAACGCCCTATAAGTTCGGATACTTTTTAGCGCGGACCCGACGTCAATATAATTGTAAGTCAATGAATAGGATCCTAATAATTACACATGTTCATTAGGTAATATTATATTTTTCATTGATTCACTAACTAAAATAATATTGAAGATTTATTTAAAATAATGTATTAAAAACACGTTATATTTTGGACAGGTACTTTTAAAT